ACGGTTTTCGCAGGAAGTCGACGGTCAACACCGGAATTCAACGGTCCACGTCGGAGTCAACCAATCAAAATAATATTTAAATAATTAAAATAATAAAAAGAAAAGAGTAAATCTTGGCCACACATGATGTACCAAATCTTGTGGCTAAGAATGACTCTCACGTCTTCACTTTAAATAAGTGGATGCATTGGAACCAATCAATATATATATATATATATATATATATATATATATATATATAGGGTCACGCTCCAGTGAGAATGGTACTCAGTGAAAGAAATAAGAATAAATCTTAGCCATTGAATCTGATCATCCAACCGCTAAAACAAAGTCACATTTTTATATTCATTAAGGGTAATTTAGACATTTATCAAATATAACAAACATACACACAATAGGGGTCCCACCACTAACACCATCACAACTCACACGTCTCTCTCTCCTCTCTCCCACCCTCTCTCTCTTTCTCTCTCTCTCAAATACACGCACACAATCACACACACAAAAACACACAGACACGGCTCAAACACACACCCCGACACCGCCAGTCGCCACCGCCCGTCAACCACCGCCAGTTCGCTGCCGCCGCCGCTTCTCCAATTAGCGTCGTCCCTTCGTCCTTTCACTGTAGTCACCGTCGGCCGCCCGATAGCTGTAGTCACCACCGGCCGCCCGCCTCTCTAGTCACCGCCGGCCGCCCGCTCTTGAAATTTCAGGCGCACATCAACCGACCCACGCTCGTGATTAACCATGAAATTTCAGCCGCACCATGGCTCCCACCAACGTCGCATCAGCAATGGAATATCACCGTATTCTACCAAATCGTCACCACCGCCGCGAATCACGACACCCAATTCCGACAATTTCCGCAACCCTCTTTGCTTTCTTCACCCTCTCTCAATTTTTTTTTTTTTGGAATTTCAATGTCAATTGCGTAAGGCCAGACTAATTGTGGTTTATATTTTGAATCTGAGGATTAAATCGAGAACAATATATCCGACTTGTGAATTCGATCGGGGTCGATATCATTGGTGCACGTCCGTCTGGGGATGTCGGGACTCGGGAGTGTGTGAAATATCAGCTGGTTCTCGTTGATAATTTGTCAATTTGGGGGAGGGTTTGTGTTGTGAAATTTTGATAATTCAAAAGGATTTATCTGCAATTTAAGTAAGTTATATTATATTGCAAATTGATTTTTGGTCAAATCTTTAATTTATGAAAATTTTAATAAATGTACAAGAATGATGAATAAAAAAATTTACAAATACACAATATTATGTTTGAATATGCACAAACACAAAATTAATATTAATAAATATATTTTTATTATATAAATAATTTGATAAATTCAAAATAATGTTAATTGAAATACACATAATTAGCGTTAAAAATCAATGCACACATAAAACATACTGGATCGATAGGTTGCACTATAATGGTAGATAAAATGCACATTATTTTATGTGTGAATGCATATTATTGGTTTCAATATTTTATATATTACATATTTTCAACAAAAATATAGGTATTAAAAATATTTAAAATATTTTGTATTTTCAATATTAAATAAAAATATTAAAAATATTTAATTTAATAGTAAATATAATATATTAAATACAAATATTATTTTTATATATTAATATTTTTTATTCAATATTTTTAATATTACGTATGTCTAATAATAAATATAAAATTTTAAACATGTTAAAATATTTTTATAATATAAATAATAAATCATTTCAATTATTTACATTATTCCGATTAACCAACTGAAAAACACAATTATTTGAATTCGATTTTAATTTGAATTTGCACATAAGAAAACTCGGACTGAATAGAATGCACAATATTATACAAAATGATGCACATTGGTGAATGTCGGATTGCACCATATTGTTAGGCCAAATGCACGTTAATGTGTTTGAGAATGCACACTAACGTAACAATGTGCATTTTCACAAAAACTAAATTTTGTTGGGAGCCGATCTCGCACTTTATTTCACACGCAAACACGCAGTTGGGAGCCGACGACCACTCGACCACGCCGATCGCCGGCGACCTCCAGACGTGCCGTCGCCGACCAACACTAGAATACAGCGCCGGAAAATCGAACCTCAAGCTCAACGTTAATGGCGAATTAAAAAAAAAAAAAAAAAAAAAAAAAAAAAAAAAAAAAAAAAAAAAA